AGTACTGCATTAATCGCATATCTTTTCTGTTGGTTTGCATGGGCTCGGTTTTCGGGCTTCCTTTCGACTGCACGGGGACATCGGCGACATGGTAGGCACGCGATATAATATAATGATTAACGATCTCATGATACAAATACACGCACAGATAATTATATGCGGTGCAGAAAATCCGGGAGTTTCCGCAAAGATAAAGTTCTTGTACATAATCGCCTGTCATGAGACATTAACCCAAATATGTCTTATGAAAAAAATAACTCATTTCTCTTAAGAAAGAATGACAGTAATGTTTTGAGTCGTGAAATTCATCGATTCAACATTTTGTTATTGTTTTCTTTAAAAATAGAAGCAGTTTTTTAAATTTTTTAATAATCTAATTATTGAAAAATGGAAAATATTATTTTCGAGGTATATATATATTACATTAAATTATTAATTTTATTTTTAAAAAACATAGAAAACATACAAAGCTTGTATTGTGATTTCTACATATATATATATATAAATATGTATATAGTATATATATTAGAGTGATCGTTATTTTAACAATTTTTGAAATTTAATCAGAACATCCTCTAAAGTGGTTCAATATCTTGAAAAAATAACACCATATTTTTTTCAGATTTTTTGAACAATTTTAACTCGTGCCACCGGAGCATGGGTGGGTGGAAAACACCTTTGTGGACAAAATTCGGCCGACGCTCTAATTCTCAACCAATTTTAAAGTTTTTGTTTTAATTTGCTCGAAATATGCGCTAGCCCAATCTGCGTAAATCTTGATTACGGGCCAAATTAAAAATTGCCGATACAATATTCGTTATCGTATAATTTTGATTTTTTCTGCTCATTTCATTGGATTGACAATTTTTACTTTGGACCGTAATCAAAATTTACGCAGAATGGGCTTATAGCTTATTCAATTTCGAGCAAATTATTATATTAAAAAAAAAACTTTAAACTTTAAACTTTGGTTAAGAATTAGAGCGTCGGCCGAATTTTGTCCACAAAGGTGTTTTTCCACCTATCTGTGCTCCGGTGGTACGGAAAATTGTTTAAAAAATCTGAAAAAAATATGGTGTTATTTTTTAGAGATATTGAACCACTTTAGGGGGTGTCCCGATTAAATTTCGAAAATTGTTAAAATAACGACCACCCTAATATTTACAGGCTGTTTCTAAATTCCCGCATACGGAGTATTATAGGTGTATTAAAAAATATTATTTTAGTAGTACGTAAGATACCTGCATTATGTATCTGAATAACGGACACATAATAACAGATGTGATTGATAATTGAAGTTGTATATATAAGATATGAAAATTACAGGGGGCATACGGAGTCGTTCTGGCTCAATTCTCACGAAAGGATAATCTTTAACTCGAATTCATTCATAATCGATGCTAAGCAGCCAAGGACAGATCCATCGACACTCTTCTCTTTAAAAATACACGTTTTTTTAAAGCAAAAGTTGAAACAAAAATTAAGATTTAATTCACCGGCCAAGAAGTTCGGTGGAACGTTTCCCCGCATCATGTTTAAAGATCCTCGCTGGAATTCAATTGCGTGCCACGACCGATTTTTTCTTGATAATTAGGACGATACTCAATCCAATAATTAAAGCGCGACTTACACATCAATAATAGTAGCCACAATCTTTGTTGGTTGTTGATTTCTACCGACCCATTTCTTGGTTGCTACGTAACAATATGACTCGCCAAATCATGTATAGTTGTACTTCCACTCCATCTTCTTCCACCATGCTTCCACTGAACTTTTTGAAATAGCTCTCGAGAGTCTCGTTTCTTGAAAATAGAGTCGAATTTCATCATGATTTTCAGCATTATTTATTATACAATTATTTCATTATATAGTCCAAATCAATTAATGTATGTCATTTTCATTTTGAAACATTGATTTGCAGAAAATTTGCAAGTAAAGAATTTTGAAAGTGACATATCTGTTTGGTTCACGACAATGTCTATGAAACTAATAAATCATGAAATCAGTAAATTCATAATTTATTATTATATAAATGTTTAAATAAATAAGTATGTATGCTTAAGCATTTATAGGTATAAATAAGTGTGTATACTTATTTATTTAAGCATTTAGATATAATAAAAAATCATGAATTTAATAATTTCATGATTTATTAATTTCGTTATTGTAATGCTATAATTTTATATATATTGCCGCAAAATTATAATTTTTTTCTCTACAGTTATCATCTCGTATTAATAATCAAACTTAGACGATAATTAATATAATATTAAAATCATAATTTTTAATAAAAATCGGAGTATTATTGAACTTTAAATGCATATACACACGTTTACAAAATCAATAAATCATAAAATTAGAACTATCCCATACAACCGATGTTTGCAGCAATATTGCTACAACGTTGCAACATTGCATATTACAATGCAATGTTTCTGAAACATTGTTAAAATATAAATACGCAACATGTTTTAATAATGTTGCAGCAATATGTAAAAAAAGTTCTGCAAATAAACTACTGATTTTGTGCTTGAATACTTGTGTACGCATATACATTTTATAATTGTCAAGTTTTATTAAGTATCAATTAATTTTTTCTATACAAACATGCGATGATTTTAAATGCAATATAAGACTTGTATTACATATAAAATTGCCAATTCTATTATTATCAATTTTATTATTATACTATTAAGTTCGCTATATCATGTAATATTATTATAATATTACACGATATAGCATTAACATATATAATTTTATGTTTGAAAAAAAAAATAGGGTTTAAGTTTTTTTTATATATATTTTTTTTTAATGTGATGCAATTTACATACGTTGTATGTATAATAGTATTTTATAAAATTTAGAAATATATATGTTTATAATTACTATGTATGAGTTGTTCTAAAACATGTCCTTTTATACTGCGTGTAAAATTAGTTTAAAAATAAAAATTATTTATTTCTAAAAATATTTCATAATAAATATATATAATTTAAAAAACTTTTTAAACTAAAATACAAATCAAGTTATCAAGTTTAACTTATGATATTGATATATTCACTAACTTTAAATTTTAATATTAAAATTTTCAATATGATTATAAGGCACTCTAAAAATTAAAATGTATGTTATTTAAATCATGAATAATTTGTGGGATTGTGTATACAAATGTCAAAAAATAAGGAAATAATATAAATTCGCAATTGCGTTATTAATAATATAGTACATATTTTATATAATATAGTATAAATATTCTATATAGTATATATTAGAATATAATATTCATTATTATAATGATGCGTTGGAAATTTTTTTATGTAATTATTTTTGTAATGTTTAGCATTTGTATTGTGTTAGATCCGGCGGACTCCTACGACTCTTTTCTTTCATGGAGATCTGGAGTTCGTCAATACACATAAACAGTTACACATAACTGATTTTTCCTAAAGCTCAAAAGTAATAAAAATTTTTTCCCACGGAAAACTAAAGTGAAGATTCCATTATCTCATCGTAAATGTCAGCTAGGATAAAATAAGAATCGGTGCACGTGCGAGATTAAGGAAACGCCGATGACACCCTTCTTGGACACCGCAATTGAGAAAACAGTAAATAACGGTAAAAATGTCAGTTGGAGGAGCAAGATCGGCGCTAGGACATTTCCTAATGGTCAAATGAGTCAAGTCGCGGACGATCTCGATTCTCACGAGTCCGCGACCATAAAATACAAGGGGCGGAATCCATAGACGGTGCTCAAGATTCGAGATGGTCTTAAGATAGCGCATGAACCAATCAGAGAGCCGTATTAGCATCTTAAGACATTACTTGAGATTAAGGCCGGAATCCATAGTCCGTTCTTAATCTCAAGCAAGATCTTAAGATTCTAATACGGCTCTCTGATTGGTTCATGCGCTATCTTAAGACCATCTCGAATCTTGAGCACCGTCTATGGATTCCGCCCTAAGTCCGGATCTACAATAGGTGTTTTAAGACTTAAGCCGTAAGAAATTGACCAATTACAGTCGAATCCGACGGGAATAATCGAGTGTGATTCGCCCATTTCTTATGGCTTAAGGCTTAAAACCCTATTGTAGATCCGGGGTAAGACCGGACTATTGCTGGATTCACCCTGCATCC